CAGAGTCGGCGAGCAGGTTCAGCAGGGCAAGTGGAAAGTGTTCTAGCTACAAAGGTGGATAATCAGAGCAGGATCCTGCTCCTGTAACCCTCAAGAACATCCCACTACAGGGAGTGCCCAGAGAAGCTGTGGCTGCGCCATCCCTGGCAGTGTTCAAGGCCACGTTGGACACAGGGGCTTGGAGCAACCTGCTCTAGTGGAAGGTGTCCCTGCCCGTGGCAGGGGTTGGAACTGAAGGAGCTTTAAGGTCCCTTCCAACACAAACCAGTCTAGGGTTCTAGGATTAACTTTGGAGTTTGTGGTCTGGATGTGCCTCCCAAGCAGCAAAGAGAAATACTCACATGTGGACGGCAATCCAGTGGACCTGTTTCAAGTGACTGCTTTAGGATCAGATGCACCATGCTCTAGCAATGCCTATTTCTCTCCTGTGGCTACAAAAGATGCCCTGAGGGCCAGAAGATATTCACAATAGGTAACATTAGCTATATCCCCACCATGCACTGCAGTAAAGTAACCTGTGCCACTGAGAGCCTGTGCAGGAAGTAAGCAGAAAATACATTTCAAACCACATTAAATGATTAGCTGATATATTTGTCCGTGGGGCAGAAGTAACTGAGGGAGCATCTCAGCTCCTGTTTCAGAGATGTGCACAGCAATAGGCAAAGGGAAACCAGCGCCCAAAGGAACAGTCTCAAACCAACACAGTCAGGGGAACGATGCAAAGAATTATTCTCATCCACTGTAAGCTGTAATTTTCAGTCTAGAAATCTAGAGCTTGCTTTCTCTGCTTTCTCTCAGCCTAATGTATACCATGCCCTGGAGACATTTTTACCAGCCATCAAAAGGAACTTGCAGAGAACCAGATGCTTCATTAAAGAATATTCACCAAGCCTTATAAAATCTTTAGTAAAAAGCAGAACAACAAATCACCAGTGTGCAAGGGAGCTGAAGTCACACATCCAGCTTTGATTGCAACCTCCTGCGCTGGGAAACACACTCTGGTTAAGAAATAAAGGGAAAAAATACCCAAGAAACCAAGAGATTCTGGCCTCTCTCTCCAACATTCCTCCAACCTGCATTTCCTGAGCGAGGAACGCGCGAGACAAAGCCATTTGGCAGGAGATGCTAATTTAAACTTAAAGAAAAATAACAGCTTAAAAGGGGAAGGGAGGAGGGAGTTTTAATCCTTCTCAACAAACCCAACAGCTTGTGATCACTACATATATCTCAGGAGTCCAAGGACTTGGTAAGAGCAGGGAGGTGAATTGAGCTGTCCTGGGACAAAGGGAATGACACAGATGTACAGCCTTACATGAGTTTTGTTGGAATGTGTACTTGCAAAGCCTGTATCTAGCTGCAACTTTAGTTACCTATTCCTTAGTCTCTCTCACCCCTTCTTGAAACTTAGAGAAGGGATCTTCTGCCACATTGGCATCCTCCACAATAAGTTAATGTCCTGTGCATTGCTCCTTCCAGGAAGTTTCTGTAACAGTGGGGAATAAAATTCCCAAGTTCACTGAGCACTCTGGGAACCAAGACAAGCCCCAGGTTTTGATTTATAAAGAAACCCCACCACCCTCACATCCAACAACCATCCAAGTTAAACAGGATCTTCCACTGCCCTCTGCTGTTACCAGTCATTCAGCTCCCAGTTCTCTCTTCCATAGTGCTGGGCTGGGCTCCGGGCTGGCAGCATCCCAGCTCCTTTCTCCGGCGGGTTGGAGCCGCAGCTTGCAAATATGCTGAAGTTTAATGCAATCTGTCTTCTTTGGTAATCACATTCCGCCCGCACCGCATGCAATAAAGATGTATTGGTAAATGCATTTGCTAAAGATACACTCGAGTGGAAAGGCTACAAGCCTGATTTACAGGAGGGAAGGAAGAAGCATCAGGTAACGGGGGCTGGCAGCGGATGCGCCAACGTTCCGCGCACAGAGACTGAGGACATGGATTGTGTAGCACAGGCACCACGTTAAAGCTGGGAAAGGAAAAGAAACCACATGTTTTGGGAGCTGGGGACCTTAAAGATATCAGAGAAAAGCCCTTTCCCTGGCAGCTTTAACCTTGCTGATTTGCAGACATACAAAGACCTTCTTTGTAAACAGGAAGGAAAAAAATTCCACCAGGACTAGCAACAACATTTGGTCTAATATATCCTGACAATTTTCCCATCTCCTTCTGTCGGGCTGCTCTGGGAGCCGGCTGGCAGCTTGTTTCATGTTATACTTAAATCAGGCATACAGCTTCCCCTCACAATGCTAATGCGACAGAGAAAGACTGCTGCTACGAAATCTCCACCTCTCCCCCATCCTTTGCATTAGCAATCCCAGGAGAGGAGTCTCAGTGTTCTATTCCCAGAAGGCTCCATCCCAAATCCGCCTGAATACATTCTCAGCACTTTTTCAGACTTCTCTGGGCACCCTGTGCCTGTGTCTCACCAATTTGGGAGAATTACCTGCCCTCACAAAGAAAGAAAAGCCTGCCTTTGAGACAGACCTGACCTGCTGAATTCTCACACAGGCAACAGCATCCTTCACACTCCAGACATCCCAAGCAGCAACTTAGGTCTTACCGCTCACTTTTCCCAACTACTTATCCCAGTTGTAAGGTCCAAATGCTTCATTTTCACTTTATCCTCCACTTGTTTTAATAGCCAGAAATTCTTCCAAGGTACTGAGCAGCCACTCTCCTACAGCATCCTCACGGATCCTCAGAAGGAAAAGCCATAAGGTGTGCTGCCTTACGATGAACACTTCCCAGGAGTGTGCAATTCTCCTGACAGCAGCTTTGCCCATTAAACAGCTTTCCTTACACAGCACAGGAGTAAGCAAGATCTCTAACTGCAAAGCCCCATAATGGGAGGATGTTTAGAGCCTGTGCAAAATGCTGCCAATGCCGGTGAAAGGGATCTGCCTACTGCTTGCAGCACACAGTGCTCACAAAGGCAAAACTTGAGAAAACCACTGCAACTCACTTTGAAACCTTGGAGCATCCATGGTGCTGGCTGGTGGCAGCTCAGAACAACAGGATCCACTGATAGGAGTGAAGATGGGACGTACCACAGCATGACTGGGCAACATGGAATGAATGTGGGAAAATGGATCCCAAGGAAAATATGTCTCCTACAAAGAATGCAATTCAACTAACAGGTACCACGGCTCTTGGAAACACTTCCCAGAGGAAAACACCATACAAAACAAGAGAGCAAAGCCAGCAAGTCCATCAGGGAAGCTTTTGTTACCTTCTGAGCTGCTCTAACACAGCGCTGGTATTCCTTAGCCACCTCGGAGCATTTGAGCTCTTCACCTTTGTTTTCCTGGTAGCACTTCAGGATTTTAGCCTGGAGGCTTGCACAGACAGGATCCGTGTTCCTCCTCCTGCAGGGAAAACAAGCACAGAGAGATGTGTGAAGAGGAGTTTCCACCCACTTACTATCACTTTACCAGTGACACACATACTCATCTGGTACTGGAGTCACCTAATCCTAATAGAGAAACTGGTGGGAGCAGCAATCACCAGTGTGGGTCAAATGACCAACAGTGTCTTCCAGCTGAGAATTCCAGCAGGAAGAAGGAACTCACTGTCTAGGTTGGTGTGGAAGCCTGTTCTACCCTGAGGCAAAACATCACCTCTCCTCTGCAGTCAGAAAGGAAAACAAAGGAAAATAGATCAATTCCAAGAGGTTCAATGATTTCCTCAACTCACACTGGAAATCTTTGGCAGAACTCAGGAATCCTGGCTGGGCCTCTGCGAGATCTGTAACAGCCTGACAAGGAACTGAACGGACTTGTTGAATAAGCTGCCTAGATCTATTGAATTCTCATCTATTTAAACAGTTCAAACCCTCCAGCACGGTTGGAAGCACTGCAATTCTCCCAGTGACTAGAAAAAACACAATAATAGCAAGAGCACATATCTGTTTCTTTGTATTTCTGAAGCAATTAGTACTCAGACCCCGTAAATGGCGTTGACAGCTACCCAAGAACAATTAGGGATGATGTTCTTTTACTCTAATGTGCATGTGTACATATGGCACATCATCAGCAACAGTACCAATAGAGGGGAAGGTCGCTGTAAAACAATCCCAGCAACAATGGCACACACACAGTAACACAGTGTCATCAGCTGCACAGACAGGCACAAATTGCAGGAATTTGCAGCACAATTGCCATGGATTGTTTTACCAGACAACAAGAGAACATATGTTTAGGTGTAGCAACCCTCAGACACCGCCTCCTAAAGCATAAATCCATTCAATTCCTTGCATTTTTTGTCTCAATATGCTTAGAGAGATCTGCGCCCAAACATCAAACACACCTCTTCCTTGCAGGGCACTTGATGCTTCAGGCGGGCGTTAACGCTATGATGTGATATATTCATTTCCACAGTCACAACAACAGGTCCTCATTCAGCAAAAGGGCTCCATAGAAAGGCAGTGAGAAAACACTGAATCACAGAGTGGTTTGGGTTGAAGGGACCTTAAGCTCCTCCAGCTCTGATCCCTGCCACCAGCAGGGACACCTTCCACTAGAGCAGGTTGCTCCAAGCCCCTGTGTCCAACCTGGCCTTGAACACTGCCAGGGATGGGGCAGCCGCAGCTTCTCTGGGCACCCTGTGCCAGCGCCTCAGCACCCTCACAGGGAAGAGCTTCTGCCTCAGAGCTCATCTCAATCTCCCCTCTGGCAGGTTAAAGCCATTCCAGCCCTCACAGCATCTCTGTGGCCTCCTCTGGACTCACTCAAGCAGGTCCACGTGCCTCTTGTGCTGGGACCAGGAACATGACTTGCTCCTGAGCATGTCTCATGCTCTCAGGTGAAACACATTTCTAAGAAACATGAAATATTAAACAAAGATCTTCTAAAAGCTTTTGGAGAGCTCAGATATGAGCTTCCAAATCATTCTGTCCTTTCCACATCAGCAACCTGGATGCTCCCTCGACACAGTTTGGCTGAGACAAACTCCAAATGATACTTCTCAGTCCTCACTCTTACTGTCAACATATGTGGGCAGAGGAAGAATTTATCAGTATCAGTATGACAGCCACACTGAGATGCTGAGGCTCGGATCAGAAGCCACCAAAGACACTAGACAGACTTCTCTTTCCACCTCTTCACTAATCTTCCAGGTTTTAGAAGAAACTTCTTCCATACATGATCCCCAGAGGCTCGTGTGCATTTCTAATTTCTGTGTTCTGAAGCAAATCACCTCTAAAGCCTCTAAAAATCCATATTCTAAAGAAAAAAAAAAAATCTTCAAATTTTGGAATAAGGAAGAATCCAGGGAGAGCTTCAGAAACTCATAATGTTGGCATTTTGCTTTGTCACTAACTTTAATATCACTCTAATCAAATCAGTGAGACTGTGGAAATGATACCAAACAATACCAGGTCAGGAAATACCACCAAATCCCTCAATTCATTGAAAAAGTTAAGACTTTTAAAATTAAGGTTTTCTTTAAAACTCAGCCATGTTAAACTGAAGGGCATTTTGTCATTTTCATGCTGAGAGCTGGAAGAGCAAAAAGGTACAGCATGAACAGCCTGATTCATCTGAACTGAATATGGCACAAACATCTCCAGTACTTAGAAGGATGCTTGAGGCTGCCATTGTCAGCATGGGGAGCTATAGGAATTGCAGGGGTTTTCTTGTCTGTTCCTTCACTGTCCCTCCTACAGCATCAGTCTTCATTGCCTAGAGTAAACCTAAAGCCAGGACCCACCTGTGGGCTCAGAGTAGTGCAAAGTCTGGAGTGGGTCTAGAGAAGGGCAATGGAGCTGGTGAAGGGCCTGGAGCACAAGTGTTGCCTGAAGCCTACCAGAGGGATCACCCCGCAGGCAATGGCATGTGCTGCCCAGCAAGTACCTAAATCAGTGCTCAACCATGCCACTAACCACAGCACAGAGAGGATTTATTGGGTCCCAGGTACCCAGACCCATAACAAGAATATTCTCCTTTATTTCTTCCAAACAAAACCTCTAGCTGTGGTTATGCATCAATTGCCTCAGCTTCTCAAAACAGATTTAGAGAAGCTAATCAACACAATGCTAAGTTGGTTACAGCGACTATCAATACAAATTACACAAACCAATGTATTTGTGCATTCACAAGTGAACTGGAAACTCAGCAGAACCAGTTAAATCCCACTGAGAATGACATTTTTCGTTGGAGTGGGAAGCTAGTGCTGCTCAGGAGACAACTGTCCCTGTGCCCACCACGCAGCATGATCGATGAAACCAAAGGATATACTGTAAGGAAGCACATCCTGTGGAGTCCAGGAGCACACAAGTTACTCACATCCAGCAGATTAGTTCTGGTACCCACTGGGACTGAAAGGGGAGTATCTGAACTGCTCTGGTGCCAAGCTGCTTGAGGACCTTTTCTCCTGGCACAGCAATCACTACTCCTGTCCTGCCTGACTCCTCTCCTGCCCACATGAAGGCTCTTAACTTCAGGTTGCAACACTTCCACACATGGGGAACTACAGCCCTATACATGAGTTACACCTTAGAGTTGTCTGGCTTTACTCATACATAGGAGAAGAAATTAAACATGATAAATGTGATGGAGACCAGCAGCATCTAACTACAAACATCTCTGTTGAGAGCAATAACACACTGACTTCAAATGAGGTGGACTTACATCAACTATCTCCTTCTAGCCTCAGGCCACCTCAAGGCTGTTGGCACCAACCAACCTTTAGAAAAATTCCTCTTCTGGATACTCCACTGCTCTTAGCAAGTATTTCATTGTTTGAGGGGGTTCGTTACTATTTCTCAGTCAACGAGGGGGAAGGAATGTGTTGGAGCAGGCGTGAGGTTTGAATACATGAAGAGCAGAAGACCAGTATGCTTTGACCTTTCTTGGAAAATCGCTCAGTCCTAAGCATAATATGCCACCACCAAGTAAGACAGACAATTAGCCTCTGTCTGAAGTGAAACACACGCAATTGCTACCACTGTTATCAAAACAGATATAAGAGACTCATTTATAGCAGCTAGGAAAAAGGCAAGAGAGAAAGGCCAGGCTGGGAAGAGGGGCAAGGACAATACCTGGACAGGGCAGCGTGGGAGATGAGCTCTGACAATACCTTGGAAGTAAATGCAGGACACAGACAATATGAACAATTAAACCACTAACACCCCCCCTCATCTGCTTGAAAGAAGAAGAAAGGTGGGAGAAAGGAAAGATCTAGAAATACAACTGATGAGCAGTGCCTCCCCCATCACGGCGGGGAAAGAAGCCTCTGCCTCACCACCGTTCAATGGGAAGGAAGGAACATGAACATGAAATCCATGATTTCGGATCTCCCTCTCCCCCTCCCAGGGAGGGACCTAAATCAGGTTTTACCTGGAACAGAAAGGAGAGGTTTTCTTAAAATGAAACAAAGGGCATCCTTCTCTCTGCTATCCCTTGAGGTAAGACAGAATGAGCATGATCTTGCTGCATTTTGACACGCTGAGAGTTACCAAATCCTCTCTATCACTGAGTATTCCCTTTACTTTATTTAATAAATGAAATCTCGTCAACTTATCCTTCTTCTATTATCACTGCTGACATCAATCTGATAATATTGGCTTGGCGTGGAATCGTGCTATTATATGTCCTCTTGATATTTAATTTAAGAGAAACGTCTGCAGTGGGGTGAATATGTGAAGCAAGCTTTTTATTACTGGCAGCAGTAAGGACGCTGGGAGTGAATTAGACATTCATCTTAGTCAGGGCCAATCTAGAGGCTCAGAAGAGGTTTTCTTCTTAACCCTCTCCTACCTGTTCAATAGTGGCAGTAACGTCTGCTCCAGTCAATAACTGCATTCATTTGTCTTGGCAAATTCATTTCTACATGGACATAAGCCTCATGAAGAAGTGCTAAGCGCCTGGGAGGTTAAAGCAAGGTTCTTTGAGAATTCCCATCATAAGTTCTGCAATTGCTGGTCTAAGTGTCCATCAATTAATCAAGAAGCAGCACAGCTTCCAAAGACAAACACCAACTCACTGCAAGGAGCGATTAAGGCAGTATCACCAGGATGCAGACCCCTTTGAAGGTCTCAAACACAGCTCAATAGTTACGAGCTGCTTGCTGCTGACAGGTCCCTTTTTTGGAAGAAGAATTACAGACTCAGTATTGGAAAGCAAGAGAAAGCTGGAAACTGTGTCCCTGTTTGCTGGTCCTTCCACCCAGTTGAAAAGTCAGACTAGCCAAGTGGAGACACAACTTCAATGCTTTAGGACTTGTCAGCTCTTTAGACTAGTGCAAAGCCAGTAACCCCACAGTGAGCACAACACCATCACTTAGCTTTACCAGGGAGAGCAGCAATTCCAGGTGGAGTTAAGAGCAAGATCTTCTTTTTACCTTTTACTCTGAAAACCCTTCAAGCTGA